AGGTGTCGAGACATTAGAGAGAGAAATTAAGGGAGCAGTGAGCTTTGGACCATTGACACAGGCTAGGAATTCTATGCTGCACTTTTGTCTCGATATTTTTTGCAATTACAATGTCTTATGCATAAATCAGCAATAAAGAGTGAAATAATAAACTTATGAAAGCTATTTTGTTTTATATATGATTGTCTCATGTCAAGAGAATATATGTGCTAGCTTAGTGAGATTGTGATATCATAGACTGGGAATATGGGAGAAACTATGATAGATAATGTACATATAAGAGCTCTATGATTTTGCCTATAGTATAAAGAAAATTAGGCATGGCCGGTTCAATGAACCAACGGTTTCGGTTCATTGAACCGCCGGTTCGAGAAGTTTAAAATTTTGAACCGGAACCGGCCCTCAACGGTTTCGGTTCATTGAACCGCCGTTCGAGAAGTTTTAAAATTTTTAACCGAAACCGGCCCTTGAACCTCCGGTTCGTGTCCGGTTTCCGGTTCCGGCACGGTTCCGCACGGTTCTGGCGAACCGACGGTTTCAAATAAGTACGGTTCCGATTCGGTTTCCGACATTACGCAAATTTTTAAAAAAAATAATTAAAATTTTTTTGATTTCGAATTCATGAATAAATAATAATTTAAAATTTTAAAATTTTTATTAACTAAATAAATTTATTAAATTAACAAAAACTTCTGTTAATTTTAGACTATTATTATATTTAAATTTAAATTTTTGCCTCTAAACTCACTGATACTTAGAAAATCAAAGGGCCTATATAGTTCTTTTTTTTTTTGTTACATTGGAAAAAAATGCCTCTTAATTTATTACAATTAATTTTAGTTCCATCGGGCCACTAGTTCTCCGTAATGAGGTTCCGATCATCATTCATCGCTTGAATTTTTTGCTGGTCTTTAGAGTCAACGCCGCTCTAGTCCAATTTCGTCAACACCCACTCTTGCCATTTCCACATTATTTGAGCGATAATTTGATTGTGTGGATCAAAATTTTGTCCACCCCACACTAAAAGCTGTTCCACTGGCAACAGTAGAATTGGACAAGCAAGAATATCTTTTTGCAATTTGAAGCTAGACTGGAAAGCGATTTGCATGTCTTCTTTCCACCAACCCAAAAAATATTCAAATTTTGTTGGGTCTTTCATTCGCATCATCACCTAAAAACTTCAAAAATCTGTGCAATATATTCTCAATTTCTTGTGTATGAATTGTGGGACCCTCCCTTGATTTTTTGAAAACATTTTTGCATGAAGGTAATTGTGTAAGAATGGGAAACTTTAGTTGGATGTGTAGTTTGTGAATCTGATACTTGAGGAAGGGGAGATAACTTAATTTAGAAACTCATCATTACCAATTGACGGATATTACTTTAAAATTAATTAGTAAGAGAAAAATTAATTCTCCCTCAATATTAAAAAGGATTTTATAAAGACGAAAAAATTCTTGTTAATGCAAATTATTTTAAATCTAGGACAAAGAAAAATGCAACTAAATTTTTAAATATCGGAATTCATTATAATATTTAACCATTTTTAGTTCATCATTGAATATACATTCTCGTAAATCATCATCATTTTTCATTTTATCAATTATGGCCACTACTTATGGCCCAAAACAATGAAATGGAAAATAATGGGAGGTAGGATTAATTAAATACCACTAATAATTCTCGTACAATTTTCAAAAACTTGCAAAATATCTAATATCTTTTTTTACAAATAGTCAATTGGTGGGATAAAGTTGAAAATTGTGATGAATGCAATTGCTTAAAATGAAGAAAGAATATTCTTTATATTCATAAGACTCATTTAACATTTTATAAGTTGAATTCCACCTTGTAGGAATATCTTCTTGAAAATTTTTTATATTTTTTTCCCATAGAGTGAAAAATTTTTAAAATTCATTTTCTAAACATTATCATGTGTCCATAATGATTTAAAAACATTTTATTGGACGTTAAAATACATTTAATGTTGTTAATGCATCTTGAACCACATTAAAAATTTAAAAAATATGACATGCACATCTAGTGTGAAAAAACTTCACCCAAATTTAGTGTTGACAAAGAGTTTTAAATTCATTTATTTGATGCGGTATTGCAACTGGCATTATCAAAAAACACAATTGTAAAAAATTTTTAGTCAAACCATATTCTCTAAATAATATTTAACATGGTTAAAAAATATTCATTTGCGCGGTGTTGGAGGAGCATCCAAAAACTCTAAGTGCAATAATTCTTTTCAAGTTTTCCATTCATTTATTCAAATCCAATGGATGTAACACCCATTAAGAATGAGTTTTGCCCAAGCAATCACAACCAAATTATCACAACAAATGGGCATTTTTACCATTAAAATTTGCAAATAAATTTTAAAAATTTCTTTTTCTTTTAAATAAATAGATAAATATCCTCTTTAAGGTGTATATTCCTAGTATTTTTTTGCTAAAAGGATTTAAATGCTTTTTTACAATAGTTTTATTAAATTCCAATTTTTTCAACCAAAAATTGAAAAAAGATTATTCGTTCCATACAAACCATTTTAGCCATTCAATTTATTAGTTTCATTTTCATATATTTAATAGAGGAGTGTTAGGATCACCATACAAAACTTTAATTGGCGATTAATTTGGTTAGTTACATCCATTCCTTACCTCACTTGAATTGATGTGATTTTAAATTGACGCTATTGAGAGATTGCCATATCCCTTCTTCCAAGGCTTTGAATGCATAATTCTTTTTTGCAAATAATACATCGAACCCGCATTGATTTCTCCATTATTTTGAACATTTTTGCAAAGTTGCTTTCTTGAAAATATTTCTTGATTTTTGGTGGTTTACCTATTCAAAATTATTAGGAATATTGCTTCTTGTGGGAAAAATCAAACAATGCGATCATTTCTTCGAATCAATTTCTTCCACGCTTTGAGCAACTCGCTTTCCTTGGGAAATTGTGAATTGTTGTGCCATTAATTTTAAATGGAATTTATGGGAAAAAAAAAAATGAATAAAGGAATTTGATTTAATAGGAATTTAGAATTTGGATGTATGAAAATAAAAAAGCAATATTAAGAAGAGGAGAGATAGAATATAATTGATTGTTTGAAAAAAAAATTAATCAACTCCATTTATATTTATAATATTTTTCATTTAGTAGTTTTCCCAAAATGTCCCTTACACCAGAAAAAAAACAATATATTTTTGGATAATTTTAATAAATTATACATAAATAAATAAATAATTAAATTATAATAAAATAATTATAGCCGTTTTTGAAACTTTTGGTATTGAACTTTAAGCTTAACGTTGGTGAAATTTAATGATATAATTATATTCATGATGATGCATTATTCATAGGTCAAAAAGGTATTGCTAAAAAAAAAATTTTAAACGTTGATGATGTTTAAAAAAACAAAAAAAAGCGTCGAATGATGATGTTTTCTTTTTTTTTTAAAATTAAAATGATGATGTTTTTTCCATAAATAATTTTATATTGTGGAAAATCCGGTTCGAACCGGACCGGAACGACGGTTAACCGCCGGTTCCAGGGGCCGGTTCAGGCTTACCGCCGGTTCCAGGCCGGTTCAGGTTCATTTTTTAACATTCACATGAACCTTAACCGGCCCTTGAACCGCCGGTTCCGATTCAAAATTTTGAACCGCCGGTTTCAGTCCGATTTCGGTTCGTCTACAGTACGGTTCGGTTCCGGTTAGAATCGAACCGGTGGCCATGCCTAAAGAAAATGATGCTCCATTTTAGGCCATTGGATAATCAGTTCATGGGCCTTAAAAATCAAAAATGGAATCTCATTAGGCAACTATGTCCGGAATTTAGTTGAATTGTTCTTCTTCTGTAATACTTAATATGAAGACTTAGAAATCAAACATTTGGTTGTTGATGAGATTTATCACTTAAAAGGTAAGAATGAGCATACTTCATTATGGGAGTCTTCAGTTGAGTTCTAAATGGGATGATGATATTTAAGGGTATTAAAGTCTTTTACTCCCATTTTAATGGTAAAAACACAAGAATTGGACTATTTACTGAGTCAGAGGCAAACCTTTGGGACGTCTTAAATATTGGCATAAAAGTCAGGAACTACTTAAATAATTATAGCAAACGTTATGGACGAAATAATTATTTTTTCTATTTTATTACATAAGTTTTTAATTAAAGTAATTTTCTTGCTAAACAATTAACTTCCTAAATTAAAATTTATAATTATAATCTTTTGTGATTATAATTTTTAATTTTATTTATTAGTCAATAAAATTTAGATTTAAATAGGAAATCAATATAACTATCAAATTAAAATTATTTTTATCTTCTCAACCAATGAAATTAAAGCCTTAAACCGTTAAATATATTTATATATATATATTTATATATATTTTCAATCTTTAAATTTTAGTCGGTTTTTTATATATTTTCAATCTTTAAATTTAGTCGGGTATTTTTATCAACCCCAATATTCTTCCTTCGTATTCCCACTTTTATATATATTGTAGACTAATTAAATATTTTGAATTTAAATTGTACGATGTTCTTTATTTTAAATACGTAATAAATTTTCATTTTTCTATACTAAGGAGAATGTAAACCCACATTAATAAACTATTTGTTGAATAATCCAATTAAATCATCTTCAAGGAACATGATTTCTCCAACATATGTATATCTCTTGGCATCTTTAAAGCTTCATTAGATAATATATCTACCTGTAATTCAATTCTTCAACAATCCATCTGCCGTACTAATGAAAGCCCTCAAAAGCTCATCATCAAATGTAGAGCAAGAATCAATCCTCATTACAAAACTTTTAAGCCATAGCCATTCAGCATTTCTAAGAGAACCATCGCAACCCGCAATACCTATATTTCTTTTAGAGCAACCATCAGGGCGAAGCTAAGATTTAACACAGTGGCAAACTTTTAATATTTTTTCATAAAAATAAAAATATATATAAAGTACGAAAAAACAGAAATAAGTAGCCAGTTAATATCAAATATCTATAATATTTATTACATTAGGAAAAAAATTGACAATTGTATTCTGCGAGTCTTCATGCCTTGATAACATTGAATAGCAGTGTCATTGTCAATCTTATCAAAAATATCTTTCTCAATATACGTGATCAAATTATCTGCCATCCATTGATGTCCAATTATATTCTGTAACCAATTCTTCACAATTTTCATAACATAAAATGTGCTTTCAACAGATGTAGTTACAACAGGTAAGACCAAAGCTAAAGTTATAACCTTGTAAACTAATTCTAGTTGCTTCAGAACACTCACAACTAGACTTAGTTTACAAGCTTATATGTCTCTAATTGATTATCAAGAATAGTGAGTTGGACTGATGATAATTCAACATGATAAAACTGAGCAAGATGAAGCAATTTTTCTTTATCATAAGCATTGAATAAATCAACTGGATTCAAGCATGAAGCACATATAAGCAACTCTATATTTACTTCATTAAAATGACTGTTAAGCTCCTAGAGTTGCAAATCTATCACAACAAAAAATTAAGAATCACTTGGCGAAAAAAAGAAGATTTACTATGTTTATGTCACGACTCGAAACCATAGGCAGGACCGGCATTAGGACTCAGATAAGTATAAGGTCCTCGAGGCTCGTAGTAAGCCTGAACCACAGAAATTCAACCATAATAATATGAATTTCAAACAATCAGCCCATATTGCCATAAATAATAAATCTCATAATTATATTATATTTTGGACCAAATCTAGCATCTTAAACATTTTATAGCTCAGGCCCAATTATAATATAAAATATTCATAATATGGGCTAATTGGTTCATGCGTTCACTTAAATGAATAACTAAACATCCACCTAAATTAATCGGTTATAATCCTACAACTGCGGAGTTCACTAACAGATAAATATAAATAAAAGTTTTAGAACATATAGCTACATAATTTAAATAACTGCTGACTATAAAAATTACTTTTCTAGCTCTGCGGGGGAGGAGATAGAGCTTTAACCGGGACAAAGAAGTACCTACTTCTTGGAAAAGTTAAACAAAAGAAATGTGAGTTTAATAATGAATAGTAATTATTATATAATACAAGCATTCACACGAAATGCTTCCTAAAGTACTAAAATGAACATACAGCCGGTCAAGCATATGGCACAACATTAGTATCAACAAGTAATTACATCTTAGGTAATCAAACAAGTGGAAATTGGTTAGTGGCGTCACCGAAACCCCCCGATGAGCTGTCCTCACACATGATCCATTCTCTCATGACATGTGCACCAGGGAGCCGATCCCCCATACATAGCCGACTGGTCTAATCTTCACTTGATCAGCCTTCTCATTTTTTTTATACTCTTTTTTCTTTCCATACCAACAGGAGGCCACCCTGTAGTTTTCCATATAATCCGTATCATCAGATGCACACAGGGGCGCCGATCTCCCCACACATGGTCGACGGTATCGAAGATCACCCTCACAAACCCATGGTGACCCACTTCATCCCAATTCCACGCAAACAAGGCAAATATATATCACATTGCAAATAATCAAATAATGCAATTAAATTCAAGCATATTAACCCAATTCCACGCAAACAAGGCAAATATATATCACATTGCAAATAATCAAATAATGCAATTAAATTCAAGCATATTAAATAATTAAACACTATCATGCAAGAGCACAAATAGACATTCACATACCAATTCAAATAAATATAAGACTATTAAATAATAATATAATATAATAATTGATACTTGAAAATAAATAAATAAATGATAAAAATAAATAAATAATTAAAAACAAAGCTCTGTATAGTAATGATTTTATGTATAATGCAAATGGTAATGCACTATTTATTATTTCTCATAGTGATTGGAGAGGATAGAATTCTTCTTGATTCAAACTTGGGGAAGCCGAGAAGAGACCCATACAATCTAAAAGTGAAGACAGAAATAAGAGAAAAGCTTATATTAGAATTCAAAATTAAATTACTTAACTTAAGCCACTAGCTAAACTTAGAACTATGGAGATTCTGTCGGAAATTTGACAGAGTCTCCTCTAAAAACTGGACTTAACCACCTGTTGACTATCCATAAATCACAAACAATATATAAAGCCCATCCGTTGGGCAAATCCTTATCAAACCCATCCGCCATTGACAACATTTATCAAAATCTCATCCTCAATATTCAGTCACATCTCATCTCAATTATTCAGTCACCATTAAAATCACAAACAATATATAAAGCCCATCCGTTGGGCAAATCCTTATCAAACCCATCCGCCATTGACAACATTTATCAAAATCTCATCCTCAATATTCAGTCACATAATTTAATTTTATGATATCAATATCCAAACATAATCACATCCCAAACTTCAAATACATGTATGTACACACATATATGCACTTAATAATTCTAAAATTCTAAACCAGTTAATTAATCACAATTGGCTACCATAAATACCGTAAATTAATCAAACTTAATTTATTTATATAAGATTAAAAATTTTCTATTTATATATAAAGCTATTCAAATAATCTAATTTCTTGTCATTCAATTATGTCTACTTTAGTAACCAACTAATACAACATAAAGAATAAAATATTCTAAATGACTTGTATTCTTAATTTTTAGAATTAAGTATATTTATCTATTGAGGTTCCTTAACAAGAATCAGATTCAATTAACTATTTATTCGAAATCAACTTAATCAACTAATAATTTTAAATTTGGATTTTATACCAAAAATAAGGAACTAGGTCTTAGAGGGTACCAATCGAAAATCAGACTATGATTCCACGATCTGCGCAAGGAGGAGATGATTCCACCTCCTGGGGCCTCACCGGCTGCTCGCTGGACTGTTGCCGTCGCCGCTGCCTATGGTGGCCGAAAAGCCCATGGCTGCTCGTAATCGAGCACTCTTCACTCCGCCTAGCTTGGATTTCACTCAAGAGTTCGTTTTTGGCATTGGTTGAGCGAGATCGGCCCTCTAACTGATCGGAACGGGCTCGACTTGCCTGTTTAGCAGACTGAAAACAAACAGAGCGTGAAGGAGATTATGCCATCGACAAGGGAGTTGCTGGAGCCGTTCAATTGTGTCGAGGTCACCGGAGACGGCGAAGGCGCCATTGCGTCGATCGTCAGAGAGAGATCGCAGGTCGCCAGTTTGCTGCGCCCACCGAAAATGAAAATAGAGAGAGAAGGAAGCTGCAGAGCGATGTGGCGCGACGATGAGGAGAAGATGGATTCGATCGGCTCTGGTGGCTGGAAACAAAAGAGAAGGAGAGAGAGGTGAGCGGCGCTGGAGAAGAATAAGAAGAAGAAGAGAAAAGGAAAAGAAAAGGCAAGGTTTCTAGAGCTTTTTGGGCCAATTCCGGTTAGATTCGAATCGGTTTGGCTCAATTTAATAATTTGGCTCAGTTTTTGCTTGGTTTGCAAGATTTCCACTTGATTTATGGGTCTGATTGGTAATAATAAAATTATTTTCCACTGAATTTCATTGGTTAGAATTTATGATTAAATTTTTAAATGAATAATTTTTGAAAAAAATTTTTCGGGTCGATAATAAAATTATTTTCCACTGAATTTCATTGGTTAGAATTTATGATTAAATTTTTAAATGAATAATTTTTGAAAAAAATTTTTCGGGTCGTTTCAGTTTAATATTAAAAACAAAAGAACTACGAAAGTAAACATGAATAGGGTAATTTAATCTTAAAATTATTGCTATGGTAATTAAAAAAATGAAAATGAAGAAAGAAATATAAACTTAGAATCCAAAAAATAAGTAAACCCATTTTTTCCAATTTTAATTTTATAGGACAAAGCCTTAATATATTCCCTAAAAATTTATAATCTCACACCTAAATAAGAGTTCACAGCTTGAAATAAATAACAAGAACAATCAAAATAATCCTCAAAAATAACCCATCAATACACAATATAATTACATAAAATAAAAGTTAAATTAAAAAATTCCATGTCTATAAGGTAAAAAAAAAAAGGCTTCGAACTTTTGCCAAATTAAAAATCATATATTTTAATAATTGTGATTTGATGAATCTTGATAAATATTAGGATGTGAGCTTTGTCAATTGGCAACTAGCAATTTGTTATTTATTTATATTGATTGTCCAATTATTGGAGAAAAGACAGAAAAATATTATACTGTACTTTGCTTTTAAACAAACAAAATTCTATATGTAAAATTAAACAACGGAAGGAAGTCAAAATGTTTTTTAGGTTTAATATATATTTATATATTAGGAAAAAAAAAAAAACACCTCCTTAAATTATAGTGAAATTAACACATGCCTCATTTTATATTTAGACACTAACTAAAATCTCCCTAAATTTTCATTCCCTCGTATACCTATCTCCTTCCGTCAAAATTTCCCCCAATTTTCTGTTAGTTTACCTAATAAATTAAGGTCAAAGGAGAGATAAAAAAATTAAACCGCAATTCTATCCTCATAATCCCTAAACCTCATTGTACTCTTTATCTTTATTACATTTACACATCGCTGTCAAACACCCACCCCGCCACATACTCTCTCTTTTGTTATGCAAATTTTGTTGGTGCTTTGTAAAATTAGTGGACTTTGCTACATTGGCCATGGCATGGACATAAAGGGACCATCATCTAAAGGTCCTTCGCTTCTGCTTTATTAATATTTATGCTTTTCAATTTTTTCTTCTTTCCATTTTAATCAATACTGTGCTTATCATTTTTTTTTCCCTTTCCATTTTAAAAACTGAGGATGGTTTCAAGGAAGCAGAACAGTCTAACAAATAGTAGAAAAAATTTCGGTTGAATTGGCACCGGTTCCGATTCCGATTCTCACCGGTTCCGGTTACGGTTCCGGACCGGTTCGAACCCACGGTTTCGGTTCCCGGAACCGTAATATGGCCACCCCTAGTTGTGGCCACCGTAACCAGAACCGGTGAGAATCGGAACCGAAATCGGAGAATTCTGGTTCCGTTCCAGTTCCAAATTTTTTGAAACCGAAATCAGCGGTTCAAGAGAACCGGTCGGAACCGGACTGGAACCGTCTGTTCGAACCGGCGGTTCTAGCAGTTGTAAACTGTCAGACCTGTTTTTTTAAAAAAAATTTTGTTGTGAAATCTCTTAATTACCCTTCCCAACAGCCATAAACGGCTACATAACAGCTAGTTTCAAGGCTATTTTTAGAAAAATGAATTTTTGAATTTATTATAAATACCTCATTTTATTTATAAATTCATTACAAAAAAATCTCAACTCTCTCTACTTACTCTCTCTACAATATACACCTTAGACCGCTACTCGCATATTATTCTTATTCTCTCTACTCTACAATCTCTCTATTAGTTATATTTCTTTCTAATTTTTTTTTATTCAATTTTCCAAATTTAATATCTTATTATCATATAATGGCAAAGTGGGAGGAAACTCAATTCGGGTAAGGGCAAGGAGAAGATTGGAGAAACACAATATTTCATTCTATCCCTACAAACGACATCTTGATTTCACTCCAACCAATTTAATTTTGAGGATATCCAAATGAAAATTTTGGAAATCTCCAACTCAAGAATCTCGAATTTAATGAAGCATTACAATAAGAGGAAAGAGGAAGAGCAAGAGAACGAGCGACGAAATTGTTGGTTAAAAGAGCAAGAACGAAAGTTCCGACATATTCGCTATTGCATTCTTTCCACGGAAAAAAATTCAAAGGTGAGAAAAATGTACAATGTATTTGCCCAATATTGCGGTGGGAAAAATCTATAAACAATCACAACGAACGGCGGACGGCTGGATCATTCTGTAAGCCTTGGAGACAAAACACTCCAACAGAAAATAGGAGTTGATCGGTCTCAAACACAATTTTGATACGATCTCTAACCTTTCTTTATTTGAATATTCTGAAAAAATACAAAATAGGAAGACATTAGCAAAATGATTTCTATGGAACATTTATCTTTTAGTTTTGGTGAAAAAGTTAGGTTTCATCAAATTCGATTGTCAAAAAGCTTAAAATCTTCTGCTAAAAGAGTACTAATGAAATACTGTAAACGAACCGACAAACTTATTATTTCTCGTATTATATAATAGGAAAAATAAGACGTTAGAGCTTTTTATTTTTTCAAATGAAAAATTCGTGTTTCAATTTGTTGTGATATTTTTGGATTCCGTGGATCAATCTGGCAAATGCATTCTGTATATGAAGTATTACATGTTCATGGGATTGATGATCTGATTGGAAAATTTCAAAAAAAGAATTTTATTGCTTTTCGTGTTTTTTGATAAACTAGTAACATCCCTACTGAATCGAATCTTGCATTAGAGGTCGAGTCCGAGGGTTGGGCCGACAAGGAACCCCAGTTCGAGCCATTTTTAAATCGCAGAGTGGTGGTGTTAGAATGGGGATGTAACTTTTAAAATGCAGACATTCTGTGGGGAACAGAACTTAGTGAGAAGAAGATTTTGGGTCCAGATTTGCGTTAGAGAAACAGAAGAGAAAGTGGGAAATCAGATCAGAAGAACGCTGAGAGTCCTCTATGTCTTTATCTGGTCCATGGAGTTTTTGAATCACCTAATTGGAGTTATGAAAGTTGAGAGATATGACCAAAAGTGGTGTTACAGACTGTGCAGGCTGGTAAATCCAACAGCTTCTGGACGGACTGGAAAGTTGCTTCATTTCGGCCGGTAATATTTGCCTTACCTTGACCAACCGTTAACTTAAGAGATGGTCGGTAGAACACAAATTCCGTGCTAAACAGCAGGGCAGTGGACTGACAGTTGCTACTTGAGCTTCAACTGTTTGAACTTACCTTACCAAGTAATTAAGCAGATGTGGTGTAGACAAGAAGACAAATTTGTAGCCTAATGTGTTAGCTAACCATATAATGTAGAATCACCTAAATTGGAGTTATAAATTGAGAGATATGACCAAAATAATATAAACTGGGCAGGCTGGAAACCAACAGCAGGGCAGACTGAAAGTTGCTACTTGAGAGAAAGAGTTATGCTAGGATTTGTGAAACATGTACAGGCTGCCTGGCAGATTTCAAGAACACATTAGAAATGATGTTGGAATGCATATGTAGATTCATTAACCCTAAAATTATTACTGCATTTTACCTTCTAAGTGAACTTAAATTCAAACTAAGAATTTCCTTAATCTGAATGGTAAAAATTTAGTTACATAAATATTAGTAAGAATTGCATCACGGGTGCAATAGCTAGAGTATTTCCATGCAAGTTACTTTATACATTATCAATGGTATGCATTATTCCTCATTAGATAGTTTCTAAATAATTCTTGTATTATCAACACATAATATGCTCCATTAAGGTTAGCCAGAAACCACGTAGATAAGACTATGTCATGACATAGGATAGCAGATCTGCGCCCCATACAGTTTGGTACTCCAGCTATAGGCTGTTGAGTGGATATGATTTATTGATTTATATTACTGGGCCATAACAGCCCAGCCATACTAGTATTCATCCAGTTTTTCAGTACAGTTCATACAGTTTTTCTGTATCAGCTTTTGGTTCCTTAACCTTATGGAGCATTGCAGTTATGTGATTTTTATTTATAATAGTTATACGCATGGTTAATAAAAGTTGCAAAATTTAGTTTACAGGCATCATGAACAGCAGGTAAAATCAATGAAAGTATAATGATATTGTGACTTTATATGTTTATTGTTTTTTTTTATTTCTATTAAATTGAGTAATCCACTGAGCATTATTTGCTCAGCGAGTTATTATTTTAACTCGTAGGTTTCGAGACTGGACCGTAGAGAATCAGCTTGACAACTGCTGCAGTTCATCTGTGGGAACGACTCCAGTCTCTTCAGCGCGGCACCTCTGTTGGGTAGCCCAGGCTAGCGAGCTACGTATCACTGGTGTCAGCCGTGCCTCACTCATTGGATAGTTTTGCGATTCCTAGCTCCCTCTATCCCTCTGATTCTCATGGCATTGTACCAGGGCACACATTGGGTCCCCATTTCATTTTGAACAATTTCGCTCCGGTCACGGTCTCAGACGTCGCCCTAGTATCGATGTCTTGATAATAACTCATTAAGTATCACTATCTATATCTTTCCTTAATTCGTTAAAAAAGCAACCAGCACCCGCTTGACCCCCCACACTATCATTAAGTCAGTCCACACCCAACATTGATTTAGCATGAAAAGGACATAGGTCTCAATCCAGGAAATGTATCCGTCCTCAGCTCGGGTTTCATTTGATCGGTTTAACGCGATGGACCGGGGAAGATTGTTAATAAACATACTGCAAATAGTATTTATAGAATAATTGTTTCAATTTTAGATGAATATAA